CATAAAAGGCAAAGACGCGGCGAAACGCAGAGGATGAAAGCATGCCGTGGTGCTAATGGCTTGCTTTCTCATTGTCTTCCTAGAGGGCGATTTCTGTCTCGTTGGACGACAGTGCGGGTATGCCAAAACCAGCTTTTGCTCCCTTGTTAAAATGGGCTTATAGCCTTTTAGTCCGGAGTTCAAAATGTTGTAGCTACCCCGCTTTTCCTGAGCATACGGGTTCTTAATTATCTGTTAGTTCGAGTAATAAGAGGCCAGTTGAGCAAACATGAAGTTGTCCCATTTTTCATCGCTCATTCCTGAGGATCCGCAGATTTCAATCAATTCCCTTTCGGCCTTTGCGCAAAACTGCCTTCAAGAGTTCGGGACTACCTGTTGAAGGAGCCGGTTTATTTTGGAGCGCATGATGTTCCAAGCCTCATCAATTTCTAGGTCTTTGTGATGGTCCAGTTTTGAGCTCAAGCTACTGTTCATAAGTGGGAAGGATTGGTGTGCCAGGTGTTCCCGCCATAGCCACCGCGGTTATGGGTGCATAAGCGCTGCACCCTTGAAGAAGAAAGTGCAGTAATCACTATAACCGCTTCGTGGGAGAGCCGTAGGATCAGTGCCATCGGCTGGTATCGGTGGCAGCACGAAGTCGAGATGTGCAGTGGCTGACTTCGTAGCATCTTGGTAGGCGTAGAGGCTTGCGGTATTAACTTAGTGTCAAAGTTTAGCAATTGCCAAGTTAGCTTACGGTGTCCGGCTCAGCTGATGTATCACAAAGCAAAACGCGTCAAGCACATGGGAGGCAAAATTGTACTCTAACCGGCATGTTGTACAACGCATTGCTCCACTATTCTAAACTAGGCCAATCGATAAATGGGTGAGCGGGTTACCGTCACACGTCAGCGGATGGAGGTGACGAATGTAAAGGGCTCAGTACCTCGGCCGTGATTAGCTTTACAAATTGCAATAGGAAACACAAAATAAAATGATTAAGGAGACAGTTGGCAGTTGAGTAACTCTAAGTCGACACCCGGAGCCTTGAAATCTGCCAAAATGTGGTATTTCCAGCTTCCTCTATGGGTTTTTCTTGAATCCAGAAAGCGGGACACTTTGCTTCACAACGGCTTATGCACCATCTAGACCATGAGCGGTTCGCATCCGTCATGGACCCCACACCATACCACTGCTGCACCGCCATCACTAATGTTCTCGATAGGGTGAACTTTTAGAAGTGACCCCCAGTAAAGGATAACGCCGTCACCAGTTTTCGTCCATGGCTATCAGCCATTTCATCCACCTGCTGCGAATATTAGCAGATATAACTAGCAGTCCGTGTGCCGACTTTGCGCTATGGATCGGGGCACAACAAGGATCGGCCTCCATCGAACTCTCGGGGTCTTCTGCAAAACCTGAAAATCCACAATGCGGAGATTCGTTTCACCATTTGCTCTGCGCGTTCTAAACTGCTCGGACGCCGTCTGCATTTTAACGCGCTCTCCCCTTCTGAGATTGCTCAGGACATGAAAAGTGTCTTCCTTGCTCCTCGTAGTCTGCCTAAGATTGCGGCGGCATTACGCCTAATTTAGGCGGGCTATTTTAAGGGGACGAGCCTCGGAACATTGGTCCTGTTTTCTACGTAGGCGAATAGCGACTAACAGAAATCCCCGGTTCCCCGTCGTCAAACAGTGGACAGACCAGGCGCTTTAGAATCTTTTAGTCCTTCAAAATCCTCTCCGAAGTTGTACGTATGTCAGCTTCATGCGCATTGCCAATGCTCAACCACTGTACGCAAATTGATCTGTTTCCCTCTGGAATGGTAGGCCTTAGGGTTTGACAATTCGATCTCACCAAATTATCCAACTAATTCACTATGTCTAAGACGCGTTTCAGTTGGGAACATGGGGAGACTTGCGGGCGTTATGCCTTGAGGCCAATTTTTTATCACTGTGCACAGCCGTATCCACACTACCATCCCTAGCACCGCATTATAGCCTACCACGGCAGCATAGGTTCTCTTCTTAGGTTGAATTGTACGTGCACTAGGTGTCGGTGCCTCCAGTGCAGATGCAACAGGGTCGCGGTTACGACTGTTGTTGTTGCCGTCGAGCGGAGGGGTCCCAGCTTTTGTATTCCGTAAGTAGGCCTTAGGGCTGGGCACGGATGAACTAATCCCAGTGCCACTAGCCCTATCATCGGGTTGACATGTATCAAAAATGAAGAAGACAACCGACGAGGAAGTCCCTTGAAGGCCTTCACACATGTTGGCTTTGCTATTGCAGCAGCGGATATGCAGTCAGCCCATGCAATCTTGCACTGCACGGTCTTCGAGCGCGTGTTGACTCCTTTGTGACAACCCAAAAGTTTGCTGACATTCATTCTTTTGTATATGCGAGTGCGTCTGACAAAAGTAAAACGCTGGTCCGTATTTATTTAAACACTGTTTACAACGATCTTTCAGCCTAGAAGTCGATGCAGCACAGCACGCAGAAAGTCGATTTACCACGTGCTACTCACAGAGGAAGGCTTTTATGTCTTTATTAGATTTGATTATTCGTTTCAATCGTTTATGCTTACGTTCCTTATTTTTTATTTATTTTCCTGGGACTAGTTGCGTTGTTGCATAACAGTTGCGAAAACCGTTTCCGCCACGACGAAAGTAAGTTATCTTCAAGCTCTCTATAGCAGTGCGAATAAACCGAGCTGACTGCGAATAGGAGCAATACACTTAAGCATAAAAATTTTGTACGTTACATAACATCAGACTATAAACCGTTTAAAAAGCTTTTCTGCGCGTTACACATAAATAAGTTATTGATGCTGTCATCTGCGACTAACGACGACCATTTTGCGTTATCTTGAG